AACAATTAAATTTTATCAACACTCCAACCTTGCAAATTCGACTACCACGTCCTGTTCATTGCCTTCAACACTAAAACTTCTTTGTAAATGTCAAGCTTGTTGTGTGTTATTCATAGTAAGTTTCTTCTGATTGTTGAAATCCGAGTCTAATAAAGAACCGATACACATACTCAATACTTTCATCTCTCGAGCCTTGCTTCATGAACATTTTTCAGAATTTACAGTCTCTAGATCGAGCACCAGCCAAGTTAAACATATTGTAAAAAAGAGAATACATTTACAAGCAATCGTCAATAGATTAACTGACTCTTGATCTTCAACAATCATTAATACATTTACCAGCCAATGCATAATCCTCATTCTAGCCAACAATTTATTTAGCAATTATCAATAGATTAACTAACTCTTGATCTTCAACAAAGTTATGAAAATTCATTCTATAGTTAAATACAACGCCTACTTTCAACATTTGATCTTATAAATTAAAAATTTAACCTAATAACACAAGGCCTAAAATTGACAAACAAGCATTAATCTCAGCTTATAAAATGATATGATCATCAAAAGTACAAGGATCATCCACTATCGTCAAATAATAATGCAAAATATGTTTAATGACTCATAACCCATACAACATTTACTGCTTTTTGTGTTAAAAAGTGTAAATTTCCACTACAATATCAACATGCAATACATGGTATATGTGTGTGTGGGTATCATATTCAATCATGTTAAAGAAACTGCAAACATAGAAAAAATAAATGAATTTAAGGGATAAAAAGACAAAAAAAGGAAAATAAGGGAGATTGCATACAAAAAAGGTGAAAAACGAACTTGAAGGAGAAATAATGAAATTCCTTAAAGTGGGAGTAGCAGAGCACGAAGAAGTTGGATTTGGCGAACAAAGGATTCAATACCCATTATTCATAGACGTCAATATTTTCTGATTGTGAACAGGGAGAATGTCGTCGTTATTTATTTTCTTTAAACAAAATATTAAGAAAAAATATACAGAAATAAAAGGAAAGAAGAACGGAGAAGAGACTTCAATATTATCCAACTGGACTCATACAAGCAAATATACCTACCAAATACCAACAAGAGGGTCGCTAGCCACGCAAAACTTACTACAAGAAATCCGTGCAAACCGTACCATCGAACACCCAACCGTAGCTGTTACTTTTGTTGGTGCCTCTGTAATAATTATTATTAAAAATTAGGGTTAACTACATAGATTATAATTTGTGTCTTGTTTACTTTTGATTATTGATTTAAAAAAGATAAGATATTATATTTTTGGTTTTATTTAATTAAGATGTGGTCACCCTAAGTTAACAGTCGTTAATAGCAGTTAAATATTTTTTATATAATTACACATTTGGTATTTGTTATTTATATATTCTCTCAATTTAGTTATACTTTTAATAAATTAAAGTAAATTTAATCATTCAATTGAATGATGTCACATGTCATACCAGTAAGGTTGTTCAAAAATATAACCCGATTGAGTTAACCTATTTAAAAAATATCGGTTATTTATAATAAAAATACCCGATTTTTTGAGTCAGGTACTGGTCGATTTCTAGGTCGAGCATGGGTCACAAAATATTAGTTAACTGGGTACCCTTCGACCCGGTAACCGATTTATTATATACTTTTTATTTTTCATTTTTATTTTTTATTAATTTTTTATTCATAATCCTTAGTCCTCAAATTATTTCACTCTAACATTCTAGAATCCTAATTTCTTAAATTTTACATCATAATGTTCTAAATTCTTTATTTCTTAAATTTTTTCATATTAACATTCTAAATTATTTTTTAAAATATTTATTTTAACTTCAAAACATTTGAAATTTAATTATATTTCTTTATTTGAAATTTTAATAAATTTTATTTCAATTGTGTAGTTTGAATTTTTAAAATTTATGTGTGGATTATATATATTATAGACTTTTAAATTTTAAATTTTAGAATTTTTCTATATAACTTTTCTAAAAAAATAATACAAGTTAAAGAAAAAATAAAAAAAATTAAGAACCGGGTACCCATGACCCGAATTATATAATATAATTTTATATATATTAACTTAAAATATTTTTATATCAATTTATAAAATATATTTTAATATTACCTTAATTTAAAAATATTTTATTTTTATTTTCATTTAAAAATATACAGTTTATTTTAATTTATTAAAAGTATGAATAAATTGAAAGAATATGTAAATATTAGTGACCAAATGTGTGAATATATCAAAATATTTAACTGCTGTTAAATAAACAAAAGATAAGTTATCATACATGTAATTAACCCTAAAAATTACTTAACGCTCATTCCTCATGAAACCGACATTTTTTGTCCGAAATTTCTCCACCTTGTCTTTTCTTTTTCGTCCTACAAATACGGGATGGGCATTAAATACAAGAAATTTAAACGTTTGTATTTTTAATAGTTTAGGGTAATCTACGTATTGGTCACTGAACTATGGATCAAATTTATTTATATCACTAAACAAAAAATTGTTCATTACGTCATTAAGCTTTAATTTTAGTTTCAACCAAGTCATGTCACCTTTAAATTAACAATGAGAAAACTGATATGACAGCTTTAAATTTGTATAATAATACATTTAATCCTCCATATTCATACATCTAATCAATTTAATTAAATTCTTTATGTTTAAAAAATCCATCAGTAAATATATTTTATTTTGAATTTCAATGCACACAAACTAATCACAATATAATAATATAAACCTAGTTTTCGATCTTCATTAGTCATTACCACAAATTATCAACCTAGGACGTGAAACTAAATCCAAGCTTCGAACTCCATTCATCATACTCAACTATCATCTCCATCACAACACCAAATGCCAACATTTTGGCCAAACCCTAAATTCATCATTAGCCAACCCAACACTGCCACCGTTGATCCTCACCATCATTGTTGCTCCACCATATCACAAACACAACCATCATCTCACATCCAACCATTCATAAACCCCAAATCATTTCCTATCAAACCCTACCCACTTTCAGTATCCTTAATTTGAAACGAAATAGTATGTAATTAGATATGAGTATGGATCGAATAAAATCCTACTCGAGAATTTCATACCTCCATATGGTATCCAACCTGACTCGACTTTAAAAAAGTCCCACCCATCCTAACCTGACCTAAAATTTAAGGGTCAAAAATTGTCTAGTCTCTATCGGGCCCAATATCACCATTCAAAACCCCAGGCATCCTGAACTTCACCTAAAAAGTAAAATTTTACAAAAATATATAAATAAATAAAACCTAAAAAATACCAAAAAGGGTTAGGAAAATGAAATAAACACCCCAAATAGAGAATAAATGAGAGAGAGAAAAGGATACGTATCTTCTTTACATTACATGGTGGTTTTTTATGATTTTTTTTTTGACGATTCTGATGGTAAATAGGCTCCTCTTGGTGTGAGAAGCAATATATTTCTATTTCTGTTTGATAGAATAACAAAGGAAGGAGATGAAAAATAAAGAAGTTAAACAATTTGATTTAGATTAATGGATACTGGGTACTTTTTGGTGAAATAGGCACCAAATTCAAAAATAAGAGGCTTGGAGGGGTTGTTAGAAAATTTGGGTGTTTAACGAAAATTGATAACGATATCCAATTAATGCGACATTCAGTGGTGATCGTTGCGGTTGTGGGTGATGATTTTAGGATTTTAATTTTTTTTAGAATAAAGAGAAATGAGAGAAATTGCAAGAGGGGAGAGTGAAGAAGGGGAAAAAGAGAATTTAAATTTAAAAAAATTATCTTATACTGTAAATTATTTTGGGTCAGGTGAAGTCAAATATTTTTTTATTTTAAATCTGATTATAGCACGAACCCGATTATTACTAGTCTAAATTACATGTCCCGACCCAAATCTATTTTTAAAAGAAGTAATTCGTCATATCCAAATCTCATACCATAAAAAAAGCCATAAAATAACAAACAACCACAAAACAAATGGAAAACAATAGTCAACAACAAAAATAAATATTAAAAAAATAGCAGAATGAAAGGTTGAGAAAAAAAGAAGAAGAGCAATAAAACTTTCCACTTTTTGTCCTTGATGTTTTGATGTCTTAAAGATCAACCCCAGCAATAAAAAGGTGGAGGAGACAATAAAGAAGCACATGTCTCAATTTCAAGCCGGTTTAATGGTGGATGGTGTATATTTGATATAAGAAAGATTTAAGTTTAAGGCTTGTTTTCATAGATCTCGAGTGGGTTCTGAATAAATCTAAACCAATAGAGGTGAAGATGATAGATAATATTTATTTTAATAAATACATCACTCATAGATAATATTATCGATAGAAGAGGTCAACGATAACAACAATGTATGTGGGTTTTGATTTACTTTAGATTAAATTAAACTTGATTAAGATTAAAAAGGGGATTTGGTGTGAGATTATACAAAAAAAAGTTTAATTTTGTTATAGGATCAAATTAACAGAGTTTGTAAATTTATTGATTCATATTCTCAAATTTTCTAGAATTAGCACTAAATTTATTAAATATGTAGTTATGGAGAATTGAATGTATTATTATATAAATTTTAAAACTATCATATCAGTTTCATCGTTATTGATTTTCCGAAAGGGAACTTGATTGAAAATGAAATAAAATTTAGTGACCTTTTTTATAATATTTATTGTTTAGTACTCAAAATAAAATTGACTCCATATTAGTTACCCAAAAAAATAAATTTACTTTCTTTAAGGGAACTCGAGCACCGCCTCGCTCAACTGGGGCTCCATCTTTTTTTCCCCAGTATTCAACCGAAAATATCGGGTCTACGGAATCTACGGTCTCAAAACCATCTCCTATACACTACGCATACCTTCACAAACTTGCTTTTGCAGGGGGAGGTAAATTCTCAAGAATTTTTATTTATTTATTTTTGGGTTTTACTTCCAATCATTTTTACCATCCCATCTACCCACAAAGAGATCCTGTCTTTGAAAAAAAAGGTTGGAACTTGAAAGAAATAGAGAGCGAGAGAATAAAAACATCAAAGAAGAGATTCCACCTTCTGTGTATTTGCCATTTACTTCTTAGCTTCATGGTAAAGGTATTGTCTCTGGATGCTTTTTTTGGTTTATGCTATCGTACGTACTAGTCTTAGTGCTTTGAGATCCTTTTAAATTTGCCTTGTTTGTGCATATCCGAACATATTTGAATCTGTTTTTTTTTTCAAAAAGAAGAAAATACAACGGGTTTTATGTTTGTTTTTGACACGAATGATTATTATTATTTCTTAGCGTAATGGGTATTATAATCATGTTTTTTTTCCCTTCATTTTCAATAACTAAATGGAGTATATGTATTTGTTTATTTGGGGTTTTGTTTTTTGTTTTACTTTTAGATTTCATTTTATTGGTCGGATGACTTGTTTATTTGGTTTGTGGGATTTCCAGGCATTCACGGAAGGTGGTGTTTTGACTTTTAAAGCCTAAAGAGAGAGAACATTTTTTCTATTAAAAAAATTCTTTTTTGATAGATTGAGAAAAGAAAAAAAAGGGGTATTTCAGCCTGAATAGATTAGATGGTTTTCAAGTGATTATCTTTTTCTTGTTTTTTTTTCAAAAAAAAAAAAAAAAAATGGAAAAGAGATCTAGGCTTGACAGAGTCTTATTCTTGATTGTTCTTCTTCTAGGATTTGATTGGTTTCTTGATTTTCAATGAAACCAAGTTTGATGTTTTAGCGGTCAATTGTTGATGAGCTTGAAGAATCTTTAGTTTCAGAGTAATTATTTCAGGAACAATCTCTTGATTGCGTCCCTTCTTCAAAGGAGGAAATCATACAAGGGAAGATAAAAAGGGGAAGCTTTTGGTTTAAGATTTTGCAGTGTTTAAAGTTTGTAAGTATTTGGAGTGAAATACAAAGATCATAAGAAATGTCAGGAGAGGCAAATTCATGGATTAGGAGAACCAAGTTTTCTCACACTGTTTGTCATAGGTTGGACTCATCTGGATTGGGTTCTTTTCCTTTGAATCTACAATCGGACAGGAAGCAAGAGCTGATCTTAGGATCCAAGCCGAGGTCAACTCTGTCTTCCCCTAATCCCAAACCAATTCGCAATGATCCCCAGATTCAGCCAAATCGGATCATGAACAAGCAAAGATCTTTATCCCCTGTCCCTCAGACTGTTCTGTCGGATACGTTCAAGGAAGCAAGGTCCGAGAGTAAGAGATTCTCAACCCCACACCCTCGAAGGAAAGAATCCGGCAAGCGACGGCTCGAAAAGTTCTTCCACAAAGAATCCCATGACAAGAAAGGGTCCAGTTCACCTGCACCATCAAATTCAAGCCCCCTTAGGCACTTGGGGTCCTTGAAGGTTTCAGATGGGACAAAGGGCAGGAAGGAATCTGCTTGGACCAAGTATTTTGACCATGCTGGTGTAAGGGTTAATGCTGTAGAAGCAGCTGATGAGCACACTGTTGATCTTTCCCAGCTATTTCTGGGGCTTAGATTCGCACACGGTGCGCATAGCCGTCTTTATCATGGCATATATAAGGAGGAAGCTGTTGCAGTTAAGATTATTAGGGTACCTGATGACGACAATGGAGACTTGGCCGATAGATTAGAGAAACAGTTCAATAGAGAGGTTAATCTTTTATCTAGACTGCACCATCAGAATGTTATAAAGGTAAAATTGCTTTTCCATATGTATCTTGTTGAGGTGATTTTTTTAATGGCATAATGTGTTACGATTCTCACTTTTACTCTTGATATGTTAACCAGTTTATAGCAGCATGTAGAAAGCCGCCTGTTTATTGTGTTATAACAGAATATTTATCAGAGGGTTCATTAAGGGCATACTTGCACAAGCTTGATGACAAGTCTCTTCCATTGAAGAAGTTACTTGTTATTGCTCTCGAAATCGCCTGTGGAATGGAATACATTCATTCTCAAGGAGTCATTCATCGCGATCTTAAACCAGAGAACATCCTAATTGATCAGGAATTCCACATGAAAATTGCTGATTTTGGTATAGCATGTGAGGAGGCGTATTGTGATCTACTGGCTGATGATCCTGGGACTTATCGTTGGATGGCACCAGAGATGATAAAAAAGAAATCATATGGAAGGAAGGTGGACGTGTATAGCTTCGGACTGATCTTGTGGGAAATGATTGCGGGAACGATCCCATATGAGGATATGAATCCCATGCAAGCTGCTTTTGCAGTTGTGAACAAGGTCTGTACCTAAATATCATCATTCTAGTCTAGTTAATATCTATGCATGATATGACTGTCCTCAGTTCGTTCAGGCCTTTGCTTATGAAAATTTTCCTTGAGAATGAACTTCCACACCCACTGTTGACATTTTTTAAATGGTATTTCATCTCCTTGATCATCTAATCAACTGAAGATTGGATTCTTGGTGCGCATAATATGGTATTAGACTGCATCTAAAATCATTACAGTTGAATTTTAGACTGCATTCGGAATATAGTATAAACTGAAGATTACAATCATATCAATATGCGGCTAATCTAAACACCATTGGGAGACAACAATAAATACTTAATATGAAGGCAGCGTCACAGTTTTCCAATCTTTGACTGTACATTGTTTGGATGACATTTGGGAAGTTGGGTACATGGCTATTAGCAGAGATAATTCTACTTGAATTTTTACTTGCATTACATGGGCGAACTGAAATATAATTGTGGCGTCTTTTTTAATGTGTTGACTTGGGAAGGTTTTATTTGATTATATCTGTAATTCTGATATCAGAAGTGTTTTTTCCTAGAATTTGAGACCTGTCATCCCCAAAGACTGTCCGCCCTCCATGCGAGCTTTAATCGAGCAATGTTGGTCATTAAACCCGGAGAAGAGGCCGGAGTTTTGGCAGATAGTGAAGGTGTTGGAGCAATTTGAGTCGTCGCTCAATCGTGATGGCACCCTGAATTTGGTAGCGAACCCAAGTTGCCAGGATCATAAGAAACGGCTGCTTCATTGGATTCAGAAGCTTGGTCCTGCACACAACCCTCACTTATATGTCTATGCTCCACCTATGCTTAAACCCAAGTTCTCATGAATATTTATTTGGACCTGGCTCTTCTAGTGCCATCAGGTCGTTTGTAATTAAAAGCTTCGTTTTCCAAGCCGGTGCTTCTTTATTTGTACCCCCCCCCCATATGTCACATTCTTGTGGGAGTGAATGAAATAGATTTGTAGGCGATGACATGCATCAAGTTGGGTTAGATTCATTGTCTTTCGTTATTTTATACGGTTTCTGAGATAGGCATAACCCTTTAGTCGGAGATAGTCGTTCAAGCACGATTGAATTCATGGTATTAATTAAATTAAGATATTATTTTAGGTAGATAGTATCTTATAAAATCATTAAAAGTTACTAGCTGTTTTATGATTGTCATAGTTAGTGTTAATCAAACTAAGATAACATTGTATAAAAAGTATATTGAAACACATTATTATAAAATATTTATCCATATAACATATATAAATGTTTATTGATATAATTATCAACTACCTTGTAGTAATATCTTCACCGAACAGTCAATTTTATTTACTGGAAAAGTGAACAGGGAAAAGTAAAAAAGCAAAACAAATTCTTTGAATTAGGCGGCCATGTCCCAATCTTGTGTAGGTACAATGTAACAGACGTGGTCTACATCAATTATTAAGCGGTTTGTAAGTAGACGGCTGGTTGTCCTATTCCCTGCCAAATATCAAATATCAGTGTCAATCAATGTCTTTTATTTTGACTCGTTCTTGTTGGCGGTTTTTATAACTAAAACTGTAAAAAAAAAAAATCAGTGAAGCCCATCTATCTGTGCTAGTTTGGGCCTATTTTAATACATTTTAATAAGTTACATTATTGATTACTTTTAAATTTTAAATTTTGTTTTTGATCATGAAATTAGATAAAAGAAATTGAATTAAACTTTTGAATTGTTTTTTTTATTATTAACTTTAAATCATAACGGTCAGCGTAGTTCTTATGCTTTTTTTATAAAATTATAAACGAATGTGGATGTGGTCATTAGTTGTATATCCTCGATCATCGATACTAACAAGGTTAACTAGACATAATTAAAATATGTTATTAGAATAGTTATTAGTTAAAGAAGATCATCAAAATTCTGCTTTTTTCCCTCACGTCAGGTCAGTTTTAGGCAGAAGCTAACACTATTCGAGTGCTTAAGGATAATCAGGGTAATAAAATTGACACCTTTGACTCTATTGCTGCTGAGTTAGTTCATTTCAGTTTTTTTTTTCAATTCTCTTGGTGTTGTTGATGAGGAAGTGGAGTTGTTCTCTGATGAAATATCGAAGGAAATCTTTGGAGTGCAATTGTCTGCTGCTATGCAGAATTCTCTGATTGCTCCTATCCCTTGGAATGAAATTAAGGCTGTAATGTTTGTTATGTATGGGAATAAAGCCCTAGGTCCGGACGGTTATTCTGCAAAGTTTTTTCAAGTCTCTTTGGAGATTGTGGGTGAGGATTTCCTTAAAGCTGTGCAATATTTTTTCCAGAATAGCTACCTTCTTGATTCTTTTAATTCGACCATTTTCACTTTGGTGCCTAAAGTTCATGCTACTGATTTTTTTGCCTATCTTGTGTTGTAGTACTGTGTAAAAGTGCATCACCAAGATTATGGCTAATAGATTGAAGCAGTTGTTCCCTTGTTTAATTCTCCCTAACCAGAGCGCTTTCTTAACTGGTAGGAATTTAGTGGAGAATGTTCTTTTAGCTCAAGAAATTGTGAATGGTTACGGAAAGAAATGTTTTACGTCCAGGCGTGCATTGAAGATTAGCTTAAGGAAAGCATTTGATTCGATCACTTGAAATTTTATTTTCCAGGTCCTTGGGGTGTTGGGTTTCCCAGAACAGTTTATGGGATGGATTTCTGCATGTATTACTAGATCTAAATTCTCGGTGAGTTTGAATGAGGGTTGGTGGGATATTTTTCTGGTGTAAAGGGCGTTAGACAAGGGGATCCAATTTCCCCTTATCCCTTATTTGTTCATTTTGGTTATGAATGTTCTTTCTGGTTTGTTGAACCTGACAGGGAAGTATAGAGTTTTTGGCTATCATCCTAAATATAGAAGGACTGGTTTAACTCATAAATGCCTTGCTGATGATCTATTGGTATTTATCAAAGGGAATATCTCGTCTGTCATGGCAGTTCAGAGAGTTTTAGGAGTATTTCATAAAATGTCATGGTTGCAAATAAATATTTCTAAGAGTGAATTATTTTGCTCTGGATGGGGGAAGCGGATGTGCAATGATTTGCTGAGATATATACCTAGGTTCAGAATCGGTTTCTTTCCAATGAGATATTTGGGGTTCCCCTTGTTACTAGGAATTTGTCTTACATTGATGGCGAGGGATTGGTGGGAAGAATTGTGAAGCAGGTTAGTTGTTGGTCTGCTAAATGCCTTTCTTTTACTGGTAGATTACAGCTCATTCAGGCAGTGTTTTTTTAGTATACAAAACTTTTGGAGTAAGATCATTTTGCTGCCTTCAAAGGTCATAAAACATACTAAAGTTTGTGTTGCGTTTCTCTGGAAGGGTATAGATGGTTCTGCTCGCGGAGCTAGAGTCAGTTGGGAGAAGATTTGCCATCCTAAGTGTGAAGGGGTGCTTAGGGTAAAGGCCATTATAGTTTGGAACAAAGCTTGTGTGATGAAGTGTTTGTGTTCAATCTTATCTCAGTATGGTTCTATTTGTGTTGCTTGGGTGAGAAATTATTTGTTGAAAGGATGTTCTATTTGGGGGTTCCAAGTCGAGGCTAATCATAGTTGGGCTTGGAGGAAATTACTTAAACTTGAGATTATTTGGCCCTTGTTGATAATCAGCAGGAGAGGTATAAGGCAAGGAGGGTCTAGGAGTTGTTTGGGCACAAGCAAGACAAGGTGCTTGGTTCGTGGTTGTTTGGGTAAGATTGGTCATTCCTCGAACCTCCTTTATCACATGGTTGGTGGTGCAAGATAGGCTGCCAACGAAGAATAGAATGGTAAGTTGGGGTTGTCAAGTCGACCCTCAATGCTTGTTATGTTGGGATGGTTTGGAGACACGTGATAATTTATTTGTGGAGTGTTGTTATTCTGGACAAGTGTGGGAATTGATTCTACAGGCTTGTGGCTCTTCCTTTACTCACAATTATTGGAGGGATTTGACTGAATGGCTGCATAAGTTTGGCAAGGGGAAGTCTTTGTTAACTACTATCATTCGTATGGCTTTAAATGTTTTTAATTACTACATTTAACAAGAAAGGAATAATAAGCAACATGACAAGAGTGTACGTCAGTGTCCTGCCATTTTTTCGCATATAAGGAATGATACTTGATTAAAGCTTGAAGGACATAGTGGATTGTTTTTTTTTGTTAGGGATGGCAAAAAAAAATTTGAATTCGACGGGGAAAATTGAAAATCGAATTTAATGGGTCAGGTTCGGGGATGATAAATGGGGACGGGAACGGGGACGGTGAAAACCCGTTTATGTTAAACGGGGATGGGGACGGGGACGGGTTTGGTAATCCCCGCCCCGATTACGCGGCTCGATACCCGACTCGATAAATATTAAAAATAATTATTTATATATATATAATATTAATAACATATTTTAAATTAACCTTTAAATATTTTTTATTATTTTTTTCATCCCATACTGCCCCACTTTAAAACATCGTCCCCGCTTAAATTTCTAAAATTTACCTCAATTTTTGCTGTCTCATAATATTTTTTTTCTTCTTTTAATCGTAAAAATAGTGTTTACACTTCTTGTTTGCAATTTTAATATTTTTTAATAGACAAACATTGTCTAGTTAAATGTGAAAAGTCTGGTTGGTTTGGTGGTATTGTGCCACTTCCAACGAACGTGTACTTACTGCAGGGTCCTCGTTCAGTACACTATTACACACCTGAAGCACACCACTAGCATTGGCAAGCTGGAAATTATGTCCAGCAGAATTTTAAATCAATGCAACTTGCATATTATCTTCGTCTCTTCGACAGCAACCCTCATTTTCACCTCGCATTCCAATAACCTCATACAAGCTGTCTCCATTACACAAGCTTTAACGTTCATCTGACAAAGCGAAGCATGTGAATTAGCCATATTAAAATCAGCCTCGGGACCTATATCAACATCACGTTCTTCCCTAGAAAATGAAACAACAACTGCTCTCTAGTATTAAATTCGAAAATTCTTAAAAAATTCGGTTAATTCAAAAAATTAACCGAATTAACCAAAATTTATTCGGTTAAATTAATATTTTTGAAAAAAAATTTGGTTCGATTAACGGTTAAAGAAAAAAAAATCGGTTAATTCGGTTAATGGTAGTTCGGTCGGTTCGGCCACCGAATTAACCGAATGAACAACCCTACTGATACCCATTTAAATAAACGTTTATGCTAAACGGGGATACCTGTTTCCCCGCGATTTTCTCCGATTACCCGATGGGGATTCCCGTTTAAATCCACGCGGTTTTTAAACGGGAACATATACTAATTTTTTAAACGAGAACGGGGATGAAGAGACCAATACCCGGCCCGAACCCGACCCGTTGCCATCCCTATTTTTTACTGACTGCATGTGGCTTATTGTTTGAGTTGATTGTGGGGTTTTTCTTGGGCGGTGGTTGTGGGGGTTATATATTATTTTTAGTGTCGGTTCTTTTGGATGAGCAAAACAAATTTATCAAAAAAGAAGTCGAAAAAGCGTAACAATATTCATGAAATGAAATCCAAAGGTGTGGTATGGAATGTTGTAGTTACAAGGAGACCACCATCACCTTGGATGGGACGGGCTTTCACAAATACGACGACTACTTGGTCTGTTGCGAAGGTGAAGAGCTGAGGTGACTATAAATAGTACATTTATGATCTTTTAAAATAAAGAATATTATTGTTGGTGGTTGAGTTTGTGGTATAATAATAAAAGACTATCTAAAATAATATAAATAAACACCATTAATTTATGGATTTCGAAAGAAAGGGAGAGGAATTTAAGGAGAAAATGCATCAGAAGTGTTTGGTGGTTTAAAGTGGTAAGAGCTTCAAAAAAAATTCAAAATAGGATGAAGTCTTGCTTTTTAAGATGATTGTAAATAATATGCTTAATTCTCAAATAATTGTCCAAACTATCTCTTTTGAGCCAAATAAGTGTCTACTATTTTTGCCCATCCAGGTGTCTAACTTTATCCTTTTAGATGTT